ATACTGGTAACCTAGATAATAAGAGACCATCTGGGTTTCCTAAGCCCTCGAGGAATTCCTGGTCTCTGATAGCGTCGTCGTATAGTTCGGAGTTGAGATGTTTGGGTAAGACAGACAATATGCTCCGATACCTGAATCCTCGGTGTTAACACAAGCAAGTCTCAGCAATTACGTAGACGAGCAATTATCTTCGAACTGCCGGAATTGAGGAGCTCGATGTCACTAAAACGCGGTTCATGAATTATCTTGTTTTATCGTCCAACAAGTAGACTCAGAATCTGGTAAATATACGCACCACAATATCGACGATTTGACCTATCATTTTTTGGTGATTTTTACCACCTTGCTCCGATCTCACCCCGATTGGTCTATAGTTTGACCTTGTTTACATGTATAAAGAAATCACGCACAGACTCAGAGAGCCTGCATAAGACTAAAAGCTTATATTCCTTTCCAGTCATAAGCTCGTGAACGAGTGAAATGAGTTATAAATCAAAAATGTTGGACGGAAAGCGAAAACTAAACATACCTAATCCGGAGGGATGGAAAATCCACCATGTTACAATGTGGAAAGTTAGATATTTTGGCGCGGAGTATATGAAATCTGTGGACGGAAACAGGGGTACCTGCTGATGAACATATACTGGCAGACATTCTGGAGCATGAGTAAATCATGCAGGCTATTACAGATCCAGTGGAACAACGCAGCGCACACATCTAGATTTTACCATAGGATGTGTATGACGTCAAATTTGATCTGATGCTTGTCAGGTCAAATTAGGAGTGCTATAACTGAGCACCATTCAACCTCAATTCACTTGTAGCTACCCTTTCGCCACACACATGACTGTACAGGTCACCGCCACTGGCTGGATCACGAGATCTATTTTTTTTTCCGTGCACTCACAAATCACGCTACAATCGTGACTAACTTGACTACACAGCTCACAGTCAAGCCCTTCATCCCAAGACCTCGTTCTTTTCCCTAATGGTACAAACCACGATACACATCCGATATCGACCGCCTACCGTCTGATACGGTAGCAAAACGTTATGTGCTGACACCCACACACACGCAAACGTCCTACAAATAGGATGCCAGCACAGCAACACGACACAACCCAACAGAGCTTCGCACGTCGCCCAGCTCGGAGCAGAGCCGCTCAGGATTTTTTCGGCGTTTCACTCACGGATATCCAGGACTACGTGTGGCTGTTACAACAGCGAACAAGACACGAAACCTGCGTCCGGATTCACAACAGGATTAATCAAACTGTACCAGCAAAACGATAAGTCCCTTGTTTGCATATATATCTATTGTAATAATTTTACTCAACAAGCGGACATTGTTAGTGCTCCCCGTTTTCTCGTTCGTATAACTAGTTTTCGGGTTCCGTTAGAGCATTAACAAATTGGTGAGCCCAACGTTTTTGAACTCACGTAACTTCTGACATTTTTTTTTCGTTTGGACTTCCATATATCCATATTTCTATTCATGTCCGACACACCCACGGCTCAGTCACTAAACCCGCTACTGCCTCAACCAAATATCAATGCCGCATCTGTTCACCTACCTCCGTTCTGGCACCATGATCCGTGCATCTGGTTTACTCAAATGCAAGCCCAGTTTGCTCTTAGAGGAATCACCCAGGAGCACACTATGTATTATCAGGTTTTATCCGTCCTACCTCCTGAAATAGCGGCAGATTTACGCGATATTCTTATGGCACCGGATAACTCCCAGCCATTTACACAACTTGAAAATACATTAATCACGTGAACTGACGCTTTAAGTCTACTAGTAAGTTATGGTGAGTCAGAAAATCTGCTCCCAGAATTGGCTGATGTACGTCTGCAATGATGAATAACCATTTGAATGCTCTACGTAGGCCGAGGTTAAAATCTAGCGCTCTTTGTCCATATGTTTTTAGTGTCGGACATGAATAGAAATATGGATATATGGAAGTCCAAACGAAAAAAAAATGTCAGAAGTTACGTGAGTTCAAAAACGTTGGGCTCACCAATTTGTTAATGCTCTAACGGAACCCGAAAACTAGTTATACGAACGAGAAAACGGGGAGCACTAACAATGTCCGCTTGTTGAGTAAAATTATTACAATAGATATATATGCAAACAAGGGACTTATCGTTTTGCTGGTACAGTTTGATTAATCCTGTTGTGAATCCGGACGCAGGTTTCGTGTCTTGTTCGCTGTTGTAACAGCCACACGTAGTCCTGGATATCCGTGAGTGAAACGCCGAAAAAATCCTGAGCGGCTCTGCTCCGAGCTGGGCGACGTGCGAAGCTCTGTTGGGTTGTGTCGTGTTGCTGTGCTGGCATCCTATTTGTAGGACGTTTGCGTGTGTGTGGGTGTCAGCACATAACGTTTTGCTACCGTATCAGACGGTAGGCGGTCGATATCGGATGTGTATCGTGGTTTGTACCATTAGGGAAAAGAACGAGGTCTTGGGATGAAGGGCTTGACTGTGAGCTGTGTAGTCAAGTTAGTCACGATTGTAGCGTGATTTGTGAGTGCACGGAAAAAAAATAGATCTCGTGATCCAGCCAGTGGCGGTGACCTGTACAGTCATGTGTGTGGCGAAAGGCTAGCTACACGCTCACGAGAAGTTACCGGAGAGGCCCGAGGGCGACTTGCTTTCGTCCAGACGAACTTTCACTGGCTGGTTCGCTGAGCTGGCCATCTATACTACCGGAGCTACCGACATTTCCCTCTATAGAATCCTTCACTTGTCTACTCGTGTGTCCCACACAGACGCTGTCTCATTTCTTACACTTGTCCCCGTATACGCAGTCGACCCAATTGTTCACTTGCGCTATGGCATTGGAAAGGTGATTTCAAGCGATTTGTGCCTAGTTCAGTGTATGCGTCGAATTTATTTGGAACCTGACCACCACGAACACAATTTCTCTGAAATTTCTCACAAAGAGGAGGAGCCTTTGGAGCCTGGAGCTTCTACAAGAGGGAGCCTAGTAGCGGGAGTAGTCGAGACAGAGTCCTACTTAACATAAAACGCATGTAATCTTGCTTCTCCAGGACGACCATTTCCAATTTGCCAGTGAAAATTGCCCTAAACTAGGGCAAAAGCTGAAGTCAGTTGGCTACAGTTTTCACGGTTGGTTTTAATTGTGTTGGTGCGAGTCTTAGCCTTAATCATTATTCATCTTTGATTAATGGACTGGATGTACTACGAGCATCTTGAGGGTGACTGGGTATTCCGAAAGGAAGAAATACGGACATCCGAATTCGCTGGATGTCAGCATCAGCAACTTTATTCACCAGTCAATACAGTGGAGCAATGGTGGTGCAGCTGAAATTCTGTTTTGGCCATACTACTTATGAGTAACCCGCAATTAACACAGTCTTGAGCCGGTTACACCAATCCAGACAAGTGGATTGAACTAGTGAATTGGAAAAACGCAGCCGACTCTATTCGCACAACAATCACAATCGAAACTGCATTGAACGAACCCCTCGTTATCCAGCTAACTCAATTGTGAATACATCGCAGCAGCGCCAAAACCACGCGGATCGGCAACCCCAAGGCCGGAGGGCTAACATGTTTAATATTGCCCCGCCCAACTAGGCATCCTTCGCCAACAGTGCGACGGGTTATGGATTAGGTCCTTTCGATGGATTATCCGACGCAGGCGGCAATGCAACGGCCTTGGTAGCCTAAAAGGCGAAGGTCCCACCGAGACTCGAACTCGGGTTGCTGGATTCAAAGTCCAGAGTGATAACCGCTACACCATGGGACCTGTCCAGCGTTTTGGTAATAGACTATTCGATAAGCAAGCGGTCCTTCGTAGTTGGTTAGACTGTTGTTCTCAGTCTTCTTCGGGTTCCGTAACTAGCATGCAGTTTCGTCATCAGTGGAATAGACATCATCACTGCTCGGTTGGATGAGTACCTCCTCCCTACTTGGTTCGGTTTACATAAATTTCAACGACTATCTGATGCCCATATCGGTATCTTCGAAAACTGCAGACCCAGGGAGGCAAGGAGAAAGTAGCTATCCAACCGCCCATGGATGATGTCTGCTCCGTTGTTTAAGATGAGATTGCAAGATAACCGCCAGGCTCAGCGAACATATCAACGAACTTCCTGCTAACTCCCGCGATGGACTTAGCCAGATGTCTCCATGAAGCTCCGTGAAGGGCGGTCTTTCCGGGGGGGGGAGAGACTCAGCCTCCCCAATGCAGCCTAAACCTGCTGACGCACATGGCTTAGTGGGATAGATTTTGTGGACAACCAGAGTACTCACAGGTCTACCTGCTTAACGTAACCACCCGGAACCGAGATGAACTAGTTCCGCTTTCTAAGGACTGTCCTCCAGATATCGTAATTCCAAAGCTGTCAACAACGCTAGCCGCTGAATAATGAAATACCAACAGATTATCCATTACCACCTTGATGGTGTTAATGGGTGAGTTCTGGTACAACTCGCATGCTATTATACTTGAGGAGGTGTAGTATTACAGTGATTCATGAATTGATGGGTGATGCCTGTAGCTTAAAAATAGACAGGTGCCTGTATTTTTCTAAACCGGTTGATGGCTTGGAACAGATCTCTGAGCGTTCACCAGCCAACCTTAATCGTTCGCGTTTGTATCGCCACCAAGGGCTTACGCACAGCAGTACATTCGATTCGGTGCACTATTGTCTATGGTTTCTCTTCTGTGCACGGCTAGAATCTTCTAGTAAACACTTTCGATGGTGTTAATTGCATGAGCAGATCAGGAAATTTTCTGTGAGTGAAGTAACTGTATATTGAAAGCCGAGAAATACAACCTCCAGGGTAATGTTTAGGAGTGAAGGGTAATATTTAGTCGGAACATTTATTGCAGTTACTGTGCTTGCCAGTGTGTGCGTGTATTTTTGCTGGGTATTGGCACCCGTACTAAGGGCAGCCAAAGAATACGAGCGCATTTCTTATTTCTTTCAAGTGTTGCGGCGTCTCTATTCTTGAGATCATTATAGCTTATTGACTCTCACCGTGACAGTAGACAGAACAATATTTGCAAGGTTGCGTTCCAATGTGCCGCAGGTAAGGTAGGTGGTGGGTCTGAGCTGTGCCGCACGGATAACGTGACTGTCTATTCTTTTATGTTCTCGTTCTGAGGTATTTAACGGAAAATCATTTCATACCAAGCATGGACACTTCCACAGATCATTGATTTTATTTATTGATGGTGCGTGTTGAGTTGTACTGTAAATAGTGTCTAGTAGCTCAGCTGCTTATTGCAACCTACAAATCGGTTTAAAATTGGCCAAAATCATCACCCACGTGGCAGCCACTGTTAATGCGTTTGTGTTGTGTGCTTGCCGTTCGTTGGTTACTGCATCCCGATCAGATGCCGTTTATCCCTCGAGTCCAGCTGCTCACCAAGACATCGGATTACTTTTTATGAGTATTCTCTGTTGCTTCTGACATTCTGTCAAGCTATAGTGCTCAAGCATAAAATAAAGTAATTCGATATCATAACCCTCAAAGCAGTATTTGTTTGTCCCCGATTGCCTTTGTGGACACTCCCAGTGGTGCTTCTTCTCTGGGCACGGGCCAGTTTGCGTGCAACTAACTGTATTCGTTTGTTCCTTTTGTGGTCGCTCGCTCACGCGATGGCGCCTCTGTTACATAACAAGGAGTGGCTTAATGTTGCGGAAGTCACTCACACTGCATTCATTCAGTAACTTCTATTTTGGGCTTAAAGTGGTCAAAGGCTTAGAGTGAAAATTATGGCTCCTAGTTGCACTGATCAGTTAACGGACACTCATAACATCGGCGCCAGTAAAGCATACTTTAAAGCCTACTGTTTTTTCATACTGTCTCGGTTACAAGTGTTTCAGGGACCAGTGGTGCTCACCCAAAGGTCCACAGGTTAGTAAAGGGACCGAATCTTGAAGAGACCAACCACTGAAACACTGACTGTTGGTTCGATTTACGCTGACGTTTGAATCACTTGATAAGCACCCTGATTCGTGTGGTGATACTACCCATAATACTGCTGAAAACCCTTTGACAACACACGATCGGCCTCGTACGTTTTGAAGCTCAACAGGTATGCGGAGTACCCAAGTTTATGCTCCACTTGAATACCGAATTGTATGCAACTGGCGAAATATATTCTTTTGTTAACTACTTTGGGAACCTCAACCTGCTCTCTTGTTTATGATATTCTTCAACTGTATGTGCTCTACAAACGCTGCCTCATGTTTGAACAATCTTATGAGTAGCGTGCTATGCCAGGAGAACATACTCAGCTATGTTGAATATCGTGCTAACTGAAACGCGAGGCGGCCTTTGTGAGGGCTATTCAGTTGAAGAATATCACAAACGAGAGAGACAGCTGTGGCTCTCGTCAACACTAATGCGCAATCCGTCAACGCGTTCCCACTGATTTTTGCCTTAATTGTCCAGTTCTTCTTAGCAGGCGTGCGGTCAGAACGCGTGTGTTAGGGCTTATGAGTAAAATCCTACCCGGGAGAAACAGCGCAGTGTCGAGAAAATAACCGAATTTTGTGAACGTGCGACTTTAGCCAGAAAACTGCTCATGGTTGTTACGGTAGACAGTCAGCCGATAGAGAGCATAACAGAAGACAAAAGGTTATAACAGACGTTGAAAGATCTACTTGACGGTATGCTCTTGATACAATACGACCCTTCCATGATTACTTAGAAAATACACACGGAAGTCATCACCGGAACTTGGGCATATATCGAAATGAACTGTCTGTACTCTTTTTTCAGTGGAGATCGCGTCCTGTAAAGTCCATCTGGATAAGAAAGCCTGGCGTTGCATAGTTGTCCCATCCTTAGTAAAAATCATTAATAATGCACATTCACGAATTTCCAAGGTGTTTTGCACTCGTAACCTTGCTGGTGACAGTTGACGGCCATTAAAAGACCATTTAGACAAATTCCCGGATTTCATGAAACTACCAACAAATTCCAAGTAGCCAAAAAAGAAGCAACCACAAGACTAGCAAACTTCCCATATGGGAATGGACGAGCCAGTCAACACGATGATGTGAATTCCGTGGTTGAGGGACGAGTGGCCTTTTATCCCGTTTTACTGTGGGTTAATTACGTTGCTGATCAATCGCTCGTGGCCGAGGTCAAGGGTTTGACACCCTCCTGAGTTTCGTGAAATGCGCACAGCCTGTGGTTCCCAGTGTTTCTCGGCCCTTCAAAATAAACTCACTTCAAATGAAGGACGAAATCCCTATGGAATGAAATTCCAAATCTTCTCAGGTATCAAAAAAACTTTGTATTCCGTTCACGAGAAAGTATATTATCAAATCTGTCGACCTCGGAATATTGCGGAATTCGCTTGCCAGGGCTACTAGTTTTCTCAGAGGCGTTAATTGCTTGAAGTTCAGACAAACTGGTGCCGATGGATGAACCTCCCACATTGGACTGCGGTAAAATTGGGTCACATGGCGAGCCATGGTATCGACGCCATCATTGTGGCAGTACCGACACAAGGTACCACAGTAATTGACCGCTGTCAATCGATCAGAACACAGGTTGGTTCTGTTGATTTCAGCTACCAGGTGAGCACGCTGTACAGTCAGGTATCGTTTCTACACGATTGGCCATATCACTCGGTGAAGCGCACACATATGTAGACCCTCGGATTGTCATGTTATAATCACAAATCCTACATCAGTGAAACCGGGCGACGGCCCCAACAAAAACACAGAGGTTCTGCTACAACTTCAGCTGGAAGGAACAACGCTATGGTGTGTAACGGCGGCAAAGGCTGTGCAGGACCTATGGATCTACTAAAAACAGGTCAGTGGCAATTGAACTGCATAGTACCGACGAAGTGGACAAAGGCATGTGGCGTTTTGGCAATTTGCGGTTGAATTAACATGCCCAAAGAATATTTTGATGTGTAGATCTGAACCAGTTTGCTTAAGCTATATCAGTGCTGCCGTACAAGGGTGTTTGCATTTCGACCAGTCGCAGTTTTTTTTACTGACTTGGGTAGATAGCAGTGAGCCCGTTTTCAAAAAACGTCAGAAAGTTTGGGATGGTTAACGCCTAGATTCTAAAAAATACGTGCCCGAAAATCCCTGTTCCCATATCTGGGCCTACGCACCACTGGATCGTTGGAGACGGAAAACACTTTTGTGGACAGTCCGAAAGACTTATCCCTTTTTAAAGAATTTCCTTAGGAGGTTTGGTTGCATCATCTAACCTAGTCACAGAGCAAAAGATTAGTAGCCACTCACTGACGCATACTCATCCCAGTTTATCAGTGGTTCCAGAACAATTTTCGTTTCATATCCAACCAAAGTGTTAGGTATAAAGTGTTGAAAAAGGCTCCGAAATTACCACTGTCCTTTCATCTCTCTGGTGGACCGTTGTATGTACAGCAAACCCATATGTTGAGCTTCCCCAAACCTCCAGTATTAAAGGAATGAATTGGAAACGTTTAGGACTGGCTCGATCATGTTAATTATGACCTTGTCTTGAACCAGTGTCGTTAGACTGCTGATTTATTTCAAGGTTACAATATGACTGAAATGTCTTTGAAAGATGTTTCGTGTTTTGTGTTGTTTTCACAAACTTGGCCATGGGGACACGGAAGTACAAATAGTCTGGTCTTTCTGACGAGACCATGTTTTGGTCGGAAGGCCTGGAAACATTTATACAAATTACGGGCTATTTGTTTTTGGAATCAGATTTCACCGGATGTGTGATGCGACAGACACGCTGATCGTGTATGCACAGGGTTTCTTTTAATTCACTTAATCGGTCGCATTATTTGTATAGGCTGTTTTTGAAAGCTCACTAAGAATGCAGCACATTCAGTTGCCTGAAAGGATCACAAAAAAGAGACTCAGCTGGGTTCCAGGTTAGTCTCTCGCAAAACCAAATCTGTTTGCAAATGAGTGTATTTCGCTCAATAAGAGCGAATTATTAGACCATTTTGCGTGCTTGGTGTTGCTAGGGTAGTCGGCATTTGACTCTTTTCAAGGCATAGAAACAGTACCTTGCGCGATAGTGGATGTACCCGCTGAGCTTATCTTGTTTACTGTCTCTGAGTTGCCGGGTGGAATAACCTCAGGTGATAACTGCTTCATGAAATTCAGAGTCGAATATTCATCGTACTTGAGAAATGATGATCGACCATATTCAAGAGCTTTCTTAGCACATAGGGCGTGAGGTCTGTTGCATCATCTCCCCAGCTTATGCTCAAACACAGTTCACATCAGGCACACCTTGAGTTGGTTCGCCCATCAGTTAACAAATGTACCATATTCATTTATGACCAGACAGGTTGCTGCAACGGATGGCTGCGTCCTCTTCACATTGATTTCTGTCGGCTATTCCTTATCCTCACCTGCGTCAGTCTTGCAACACAGGACGCTCCTGGTGGGTGCATCTTAGCTCCATCCTACGAGAATTGCAGTCAGCACAGTTAATGGATAGATCAGAAAGGAAGTTCAATGAATGTTTCGTCTCAGACGTCTTAAAGTCAACACAGAAATCACAGTATAACAAGGATACTCACGTTGTTGCAATTTCATCATGCTTCATTGCCGTAGAGCTTTGAGAAATATCCAGCACAGAGAGAAATAAGACGTCATCGGTGGGATTGACCCAATTTCCTCTGCGAACCTCAATCAAAGTGGACTCACCATACGACAGAAAAGTGGAAAACCCGACCAGGATGACAGTACACTGGCCGCTGGGACCGGCTGTGTAAAGTTTCCAACCATACGCAAGCAGAATACACCCTCTCCCACCCACTGCACTGGTTTGGACAGTGGCCGCGTTTACTTCGCGCCTCCAGGTCATGGCCTGTCTCCTGTTGGCATTTTGCCAAGAATTCGTAGTTGAAAACATTGCTTTCATTAACAGGCAGTACCTGTGCACGTATAGCAAATGTCCCAACCACTTTAATCTGATGAGCTACGGTGCCGCTCTGGTGATTCACTGAATACACACTACGCACCATTTAGTTGAGAACACGGTGGCCAGCTAGCGATCGACATACTACGCTGTCACCGATAATCAAACGTTTGCGTAAGTCTAATGTCCTTGGATCGGAGGGGCTAAGTTTCACAAACGAGGAGAAAGAGTATTTATACAGGTACCTTGACAGAGAGCCCTTCAGCTTCAGTGAAAATCACTTCTGACTATATGACTCAGGTAAGTAAATTCGCTTGCGTCTTGATAGCGGGTGCGTCGACTCCTGTCACAGTACACTCACGGCCAAGGCAGTTACACGGATAGATAAACCGGCCAACTAACTCAAGTTCCTCTCCCCGGAGTTTCAGATGGGCATAGGGAAACTGAAAATCCTGACAAATTGCTTTGTGCTAGGTGCGAAATGCACAGCGGAACTAGGTACCACATCCAAAATTCTAACGTACATTTTGCGGTGGTTGTCAAACAAAAAGGCAATGTCATCCAGTCATCCTCTAGATGTAGTTTCGATACCAAGAGTCTCCATCTCGTATAGCGTGTATTCAAGACATCGATGATAAAACTGAATACGAAGGGAGAGTTGGCAGTCTTGTGAGAAAATCACTGGACTATTATTTGTAAAATCTTGAAGAAACCGCGAAGTATGTTAACCAACCTCAGGAGAATTCATCTAAGGATCTAAACTCACAGCCCATGGCTTCAGCGGAGCGGGCCGAATGAAAAACATTAGTATGGAAGTTGATAGCCAAACTGCTATTGAGAATATGCTGCCCAGCGAAATAGACACTCACTTCTACCGTATATTAGATTTCCAACATTATTTTTGAGTAGCTCACTAAAAGACGGTGTTATGGGACCCATTTTGAAGCTTAGGTTGAACAACTCTCGTGCAATCCTTACTGAACTAGCCTCTATCACTCCTTGAGCTTGTTGGTTCTACCTCGCTTTTCTATCCACACACAACTTTCGTTTGAGTTGATGCTTAACTGACCGCCTAAACTAATCACGCTGTGCGCAACAGCAATATGTTGGACAGCTTGCTTAAGGGTTAAAACATTAAAACCCGCAATGAAATCAGGGAAACTGGTTCTAATGGAAGTGGAGGGGAAACTGGGTGAAGGTGTGCAGCTGTTCACTTCCCTGAGTGTTCGATTACCGTCTACAATCGGACTCTACGGAAGAGTGCAGATCAAATGGGGCGGAAGGGGGATAGTAGGATGTTTTCACTTATCCGCCCGGCAGTATGTAACGAATAAAAAGATCAGACTGATGCCACCACGTGGTGGCTAAGTTCGTGGTCTTGTGTGAGCTCAGATACCATCAGGATGACAGAGCCTGGGCGAAAAGACGACTAGGGTCCTTAACAAAAACTTCCAGGTCAAGAGTCTGAGCACAGAGCAATGGTGATTCGTGTAAGACCACCACAGCAGCCTATCAGGCTGTCACATTTATTCCAGCCCCGAACCTGGAGGCCCAGTAAACCGTTTGTCAGACCTCTATCCATTTCCCCAGCCGGTAGGAAAGGGAACGGCTCAATGGGCACCGTAGTACGCAAAACGTCGCACCCCGATGAAGTTCAGTATCACGGCCAGGCACCACCTACTTGGTAAAACACACCATGTCGGTTTGTTACCGAATAACAAACCAGGTAGATATGTTTCCAGGTTACTCGAATTTCCAGGTTGAAGATTCTCTACCATTCTTTCCGTAGGAAAGTAAAAAAATGGAGCGCATCACTCATGAAGTTGCTGAAAGCTCTCCAACAGCCCACGATCTTCTTGGGGCTCATCAAACATGCGCAGTCCCCCAGCTCTCGTCAACCGAGATTGTACGCAATTCGCGAAACAACGCTAATTTGCAAACGGATTTGGTTTTGATGAGAGACTTAAATGAGCCCTAGCTGAGTGCTTCATTTACGCTATTCTTCAACTGAACGTGCTGCAGCAAGCCCACCCCAGATTTCAGTTATGGTCTCCCGTTAAAACCAGGTTGCTTTGTAAATGAAAGTAGTTAGCGTGATTGCATACAATCATGATTCAATTGGAAAATAGATTAGAAAATAAGGTTGACGGGGATTTGAGGACTGCGCTTACCTGATGAACCTTGAGAAGGACGAAACCGGTCACGGGCTATGTAGAAGAGTTTTCAGAAAACCTATGAGTTACGTCATCTCGAATATCCTGCCGACCGAAACATATGGCCGCCTTTGGGCAGCACAGTCAGCTGAAGAAAATCATCGTGAACGAGAGAATCACCTGTGATTCAGTTGAGCCTCCTCTTAAAACTAAATCAGTTTGCAAATGGGTGCGATTCGCGTATCTTTAAGATAGCATCCTCCATAAGCTACAACTTTCCATTATTGCTTTCTACGAGTTGCTTACAGTGGATGTCCTCCCTCTCGAGGACCACGAGGTATCACAAGAATCACAAAATATATTGCGTGTATGGTGTCTTGGAATCACGATTTTTCGAGGCTGAGTAAGGGTGAAAACCAATGCCTCAATTTGATCGACGAAGTATTGATAGCAGAGGGACAAGCCCAAAGTAGGAAGTTAGATGACAAAACTAGTAAAAATCATCAGTGAAAAATAAGTTCTCTTCATCAATGGGATACTGTAGCAGGGAAGCCGGCTGTGTCCTTCAGTGACACAAGTTCTTTGACGACTGAAGTGAGCAGTGTCCTGCAAAAGAACATAAACACAAAGAAATTAATCAATGAAGTGCATGATTCAATGAAGCTGTTCGGAACAAGCTGCATCAAAACTGGCAAACCTAGCAAACAAGCGCATCAACTAAACTAGGAGAGATACGTCGGAATGCTGAAGAATCAGAACACGAGGGGATCAGGTGCCACATTTAACCGAACCACCATTCATATTCCGCATCTACTGATGTCTCAGCGGACGGATCGACCACCGGAATGGATCACCTTGGCGTGCATCTTCCGACGGATCGAAGCTCACAAGAAGCTTATTGCAAATAGAGTAAAGTCAAAGGAAAGTATCATTCGGTATTTCTCACTGAGTAGCGGAATAGGAAGCGTGCCCCAATCTAAAGCTGTAACCCTGTCTCGTCGGTCGGAGTTGAGTGCTGCAGTGATATCGCGGGCTACACTGCCTGGAACTTCGTTTCACAAGGTGCAAACATGCCAATAAACCCAAAGCACAGAAGTCGAAACATGAGCACTCATTTTACAAGGCAACCCGGGAGTAAAGTCGAACTGTCCTTCACGATGGGAGTGTGACCGTAGCAAAGTGTTTCCCCCAGGAGACCATCATGCCCACATTTATGGAAGCAGATATACCGTCTTCCCCATGGATGGACGGGTTAGACAAGTTCGGTTCCAAGCACTGCACACTCCACTCATCCAGCGGTTGCCTGTGACTATCAAAGGATTATCCAATACGGTCGAAAAGCATATAAACCTTGCCCTGAGCTTGATGCGGCTCCAAACGCATTTCTTGTGCGGGGCAGCATCGGGAGCGCGATAACAGTCCCTGTGCCCTCGAGCTGGACCAGCCCCTGCAGCCGAGCTGATCAGATTATTGAATTATCTGTTCCGGGCAAGGTAGCCTAGCAATGCTCGTTGCCCTTGCTTGTCCGTGCCTTATACTCCCTTGAAATTGATGTATACCATGTCTCTGAAACACGACTCCAAAGTGGTCGTTCATTGTATTCATCACCATTTTCAGCTGTAAGAACTGCGTACTTGTCGTACAGTGGGTGTGATCCAGAGGCGATGACTTGCGGAATATATGGCTTGGGATTTGCACTCAGCGACATAGCTGGACGCGCATTGCCGGCCAACAGGCATTGCTTGTCCAGACCTTATACCCCCTTAAAATCGATGTATGCTGTCTCTGAAACACGCATACAAGACTCCGTCTTCGATCACTGTATAGCTCCAAGGCCAAACTCAGGTCTTTCACATTTCAACCTCCACGTGGCCAGTGATCCAGAAACGATGACTCGTAGAATAAGTGGCGTAAGGGATGAACTCAACTCCAGCGGTTGACAGAATCGAATGCACATTTGAATCCAGGGAACACTGAGATTCTAGGGTGCCTGTACACATACGGCTGTTCTGATGATTGATGAATTCCGATCCCGGAAAGAAGAGGAAGAATCACATCTTGTACAACATCATACGGTCAAGTAGTGAAAAAAGCAAGGCCAGTGGAACGATAAATGAAGAAAAACGGCCCAGTAGACCACTCACAAAAGCCCAATTTGGAAAGACAGGCCAAACACTTCGAAGAATAGTGTAGCTGGCATCCTGCACCTTGAAGACAGTGTATGCGGGCGAATGGACTGTTAATCTTAATTGCAAGTGCGTGAATGTTATGTGAAAACCACCGTGGCAAAAGCCTCGTAGCCGTAGCATCGAAAGTGCTCCCTGGTCTTATTCTTCGAAAGTTAACTCAGCGCGAGACAGATTCATGAAAACCAAGTTGGTTTACGTATTGAAAGCGACCACATTTAAACCCTCTGACAGATCCTGAAGTAAAGACAACGCATCCAACAACCAACAATGGTGGCCTTCCTTAACTTGAACGCAGTCTTGAACTCTATAGAGCACCAGGCACTATGGCAGCGTCTATGGAGTAAAGGTCTTATACTGATTCCTGACCCTTCATGAGGCACTATACACTAACTCCTGCAGACACTCCACGGAAAGCCCTCACCTGAGTTAACTACATCAACTGATATCAGGCAAGGCTGTGTCCTCTTCACCCATCCTCTTCAACGTCGCCATAGATATGATTATGGAACACTCACCCCGAGTCCCTAACGCCGGCGGGATGTAAATACTCCCAGTGCATTCGCTCACAAATATTCAGTGCGCAGACAGCATAGCTCTTCTGGAATCTGGCGCCATTGTAATGCAGACAACATTACGTAATCTTAATAATTATGCCTCATCGTTTGGCGTTCACACCTGCTGGCGCCATTGTAATGCAGACAACATTACGTAATCTTAATAATTATGCCTCATCGTTTGGCGTGCGCTTCACACCTGCAAAGTGTAGAGTGCTGCTATAAGACTGGATGGGCTGAAGATGAAAATGATGATGAAGGAAACATGTTAAAATCCGCAGCCACTGTCACAGAAAGTCGCATGACTGCACAGAAGTACAGTTGATTTCGGACCACAGAATATACTTCAGCCGTTTAGCGTGCAACAGCTAACACAAAAGGGGGTTGCATTTCTCTGCAAAAAATTGAATACGTCAAACATCAACTTACAGGACTAACACCAATCCAATCGCACCCAAGACGGCACAAAATATGTAAGCAGCACCGGGGAAGACGGATACGGTGAAAGCATAGAAGGCAGGAAGGCTCGGTTCACCAACTAGTAGACCACAGTATTCAGCGATTCCGATAATGACAAACAGCCGATCTGTAAGTTAAGAAAGTTGACACCTCGAAAGTAAATTTCAGTGAATTTGAGATGCACACATACACTGCTTCAAAACAAAGACATGAGCCACCCCTGAGTAAAAGCCACCACCATGAGCCTGAGGGCTACATTGATTGGGACTTTGCAGTTGAAGATCAACCATTCCCAGGGGGGGGGGACACAAGACAAAAGTAAAAAAACAGCGAATACTTGTACTATGAGGAGTCTTATGATGAAGCAGTTTGGGGACAGAATCGTACTGTCTTCTGTGATACGACAGGCAGGGCATTATTGTTACCTTGAAGGGACCGGTATTTTCATTTTTATGGAAACAGCGGTGCCGCCACCTTCCCCCACCCCCGAGGAAGGATGGGCCAAGGAATAGCATTCCAGAAATGACCAGAGAGTGGTCAACCTTCGTCTTGCCGAACTAAAACTTGGGGATGGCTATTGACACTGACCAACACAGTTCAATCACACAGGTAATGACGTGCGTAGCTGCTCCAATTTTTCCTGCACGATTGAAGCGGAAAGGTTTGACATCAGTAAATTCTTTAGGGTATTGGGCGAATTGAGACAATATTCAGATACTTATCTTCGAAATTTTGCAGCTTCAGAGTGGTAGAAACACTTTCTGTACTTTACGCTTCAGCCTGAAATAACAGCGCCATCTCCGAAAACACAGGAACAAAGTGAGATTCTGGCTACATGGTAAAACGGGGAGTATGCTTCAAGTCGGCAAAAAAGCTTGAAAACTCAAAATCTATACGGCTTTGGTTACCCGCTGTCAAAGTACGCGGATGGTTTTGTGAAAACAACGTTTACGAACCGCCTGTCACACATGTTATGTATTTGTTCTCTGTAGACAAGCTAGCGCCGGCTACCTGAAGTTTCTTTAGCCGATGCGCATATAGTGGAAATCATCCCACTGGCTATTAGAGGAAAAACAATATCAGGAAACAATCCAGAGGCTTTATTGGGATTGCAGTATGGTTTCGAAAAAGGGTAGTGGAGGCAACCTAGCAGATACTGAAGCACTCACTTTGGTTCTCTGCAGAGTGCAATGAGGAGACGAATGACTTCAACGTGGGGACAACAGCAGCTCGGGCAAATAGGAGGACCAACGCTGAAATGAGTAGATGAATCAATGAATGCCGGATGAGTTACAGATAGTCCACAAATCGTGGGCTGTGGTGAGCTCTAAAATATTTCGTACATCTTCCACACTGCATCACGTGGAGGTCTACAGAACGTGGATTTCTGTATACGTCAGACGCTAGAACTTAATGGTACCAGAAACCTTCCATAGTGAACAAAAATCATTTTGAACACATAAGTGACACGTCACTGACGTCTATTATCGTCTTTTCCTCGCGGCGATGAGTGACAAAGGGGGCTCACACATATCCCCTTAAGATTAACTGCTTTCTGTAGGTTCTACCGTATATAGGACATTGTCCACGATTAAGTACATTGCCCCAACAAATAAGTATATCATCCAACTACGTAAATAACGACTGTGAAACCTTTGATAAAGCTCACTCCAAGAAAAGCGACAACAGATCTAGCAGGAGAAACCAAACTGGACGCATAACCACGCTGGTCGTGGTGCTACTCAACGACTTTGCTCCCGTTACGCTGCAGACAGTGGTCAGGTCTGTGTCAGCCAGAAATGCACCTTTAAATGAAAGTCGGGTTGAACTGAATACGGCGCTTACGAAAAACGTCCAACCAGTGCCATGATATCACTTAGTTTCACCCAACTTGTGGTTTATCGACTATGGGTACACAGCCACGGCTTAACTACCGGATGACCCGTTGTGGACACCAGTCGATCAAATATACCCAAGTATATCAAAATTTTCAATCTGAAACTGTACCGGATTTAGTGTGCTCCGATTCAATCAGATAACTTCACACTAGAATTTCACGGTCAAATTTACCACGCCGTGAAAGGTATCAGGTCCTCACGTGTGTCAGCAGTCCGCGGAACCGTATATTTGGAAATAAGTGTCACGCCGTCGTAGTCAGGACAAATCCAGAAATCTCACTCTTACAGTTCTAAATTATTTTCGCGCGTTTTTACATGTCTAAAGTGTTTGTTTCAGGCATTTCATGCATTGTAAGGTTGCAAATGCTTAGTTGTAGGTGGATGTGAGATTGGTAGGCTCAACATTCACATCACTCTCGTGTGTAGAATACTCCTGCTGTTCCAGTGAAATTGTTTTGATGCATCCATACCAGATAGGGGAACAATGGATTCGAGTTTCGCTTTTATCAGCGCTCAACACCAGTGTATATCTCTGGCCGAGGTAGCTCAGTGGTCTGAGCCCTAGACAGCTCAGGCGCGAAATTACCGAAAGAAAGGTCTGTGTTTCGAACCTAAGTTATACATCTAGACTGCTCCTGTTTGGGTTTCGGCAAGCTGACAGTATGTCAGCCCTAGCGCCTTCTTCGGGTGGTATGGAAAGTGTATTATAGCCGAAAGTTTTCTATTTTCCACCAGTGAAAGCTGGACGCACTTGAATTAGCGCGTCTAAACATACGGACGTGTTCAAGCTTGAGAGGCGTAACAGATTTTGCCCGACGCCTCTCATAGCTCGTTTGCCAGTTCATACGTAATAATACAGATGTGTCTGGTGTTTGCATGTCAGATTTCTGGAGTTTAAACCCAGATAAGGCCAAGGACGCGCTGACGGGCTCTAATAACACCGAAATTTGGGTCGTGTTTTCCCCTTTGGCGCGGACTCACCAGACGGGCAGACTGTTCAAACAATAGATAAGTGAATGTGAAATCAAGTGCTGTCGTTTTTTTATAGGTTGGCTTTCCAGCAATTTGCATAGTATTAATAAAAATGAGGGTATGAAGTAGTGCTGAATAGACGTTCTGTTTGATTCCGTTAACGCTTACTAGTGTTCAACTGATTGGGATATCTCATTCTCTTAACCCGCTAGGTGAGACTAATTCAAATTCAGATCTGGAATGGCGCTATGTGTTCAGGAGTACTCCTGAGAAATGAATCCCTAAAACAAATAGAATATTAGTTTACTCGCCAGGTATCGCTGCTCGATACACTAAGTTAGTGAAGCAACCCAGTGAGAAACTCATGTCCAAAGTTAGTAAGTACATCGAGCGTGAGTTCACGGTTGATCAATTTCTCATTGAAACTATTGTGCATTTTTCAGTTCCTGTTTCACTGTGGCTGACGCTTTGCTTCTGTTATTCTGCACTATTCGCTGTAGATAACTTGGTGAAGGATGACGCACAACTCAGGGTAAAAGACCAACCACATAACCGGAGTATTCAAATAGGGCGGTTTAACGGATTACTAAAGCAAGAGACATGAATCTCTGGAGTCATACCAGCGACAGTCACTGTGTGAAACTTGGAGAGGACCAGATCGACGGATAGGATGTCGATCTCAATAGCCACGTGTCTGTCAACCGATCAGACACACAGGCCAACGGGTCATCTGATACAACTGTTCCACCAAGCATCGAATCTTATTCAGATATCAGTCCCGATTGGTAGCATATGCGTAAGCACACGAACGCCACAACTCAAAACATAACCACTGACAACACTGCAGAACAATCTCAGTGACTGATGGTGAAACGTCTTCAACCAAAATGCCCAGCCGGGTGAACAAACCAACGACTTTCTAAGCAAACGCGGTTACCAATATACTCCTCAACGGTCTAGTCACTTCCCCAGGGAATCCAGTCGGGCGAAAACGGTGCTGCTGCGCAACCATTCCGTAGGCAAAGTAGCAGACTTACCTACATAGACCGCAGCGTTACAGAACGGTTGTGACAGCTTGAACGCAAATCCAATGATTAATTTGTTCAAGGTGATTAGAAGGAATGCCACAGAGACATAGGTCAGCATTCGGGTACGCGACCAGATCACATGATACCAGGACTGCAGCTGTGTCGGTTCAAAATCTTCTGACGCTGGCTGCGATTGTTCTACAATCTCATCATCAACAAGAAGCGCAACAGAAGAGTTAGATAGGTGGCGCGACCCGGGCAACTGACTCTTTGTGAATACCGTAGGAGATTTAACTCGCATAGACCACGCAGTAATCAAAGTCAATGCGAGTGACGCCAGTGAAAGCAAAAAACTCCCCACAAAGCTGTTGAAAACAAAAACAGAAGCCTTGAAAAAAAGTACGTGGATTGGCAGAGAAAATGTGAGCGGAGGTGCACGAAGATCAAAGGAAAGTTGCAAGTGATAAAGCGGGTCAAATTCAAATGCCGACGGAGTCACTTTAGACTTTGCTCAGCACCGATCATACGATAGATTCACACGTGTACTATACGGTTTCGGACACGGATTATGTGTTGGTGAGAATAACACAGCAATTATCAAGTGAAAATTGGCAGGCGGTTTACTGATCAACTAGCTGATATCAGTTACAACTCTGGTTGAAATCAAGAAAGGAATGCTACAACACTGAAATACTATTTGATCCAAACTAATGCTATAAATCGGATCAACAGATTTCAGTCGGCTGAATGACAATCACCGTTTTATATTTGCTCAAAGGCGACAGTGTCTGCAAAAGTATACAGCGGTCCTCACAAAAGGCAATGGTCTTCTGTATTGTCGTCCCTACTGTTTGGTGGAGAATGATTGCATGTTGACGAACCTCAACTAACCCGACTCTGGTAGCCTCTTCAAAATAGATTTTCACGTCGGCCAAAAATCATTACACCCAACTCAAAAGTTCGCGATAAACTTATGCTGGGAGATCCCCTAGAGTGGATGTTTCAAGTCGGATTTTATACATCTTCCACCGTATCTGCTAAAACCGATCTGATGACCGGCATTGTTTACAGAGAAAAACTACCACTAATAGGTGAATATCAGCCAAACCAGAGAGGCAAACGACCTTTGAGCTGATAGCCAGTTGAAGGACATCATGAACCACCCAAGCCTGGGTCGGATTTCCCGTCCACATCCAATACTATGTGAAAGACTGGTTTTCAGATGCGAAGTTCACGTGTACATAGAGACATACCTGTGGATGGATTCGGACCGAAAACCTCCTGGTTACCGAACGCGTATTCGACTACACAGAAAACGCTCGCTCTCCACCACGATTGTGCACCTGAACTTCGCATCTAGTTGATATTTATCAGTGTCACCGGTGAGTCCCTGGAAAAACTGCACAGTGAACCAGACGTTGATGTCGCCCAGATATTCTTAGAAATTAGAAGAGTTCGAGTCCATTCTCGGGCGTTTTTCGTGTCCTATACGTGTACTTGGACTTCTCATTTCAAGATCTTTCAAACCTCTACTTTCTAGAAATGGTTGTTTTTTTTTTCAGTGAACCCACAATGAATTCAGAAAAGTTTGAAAAACAATCGGTAGTTCTCAGCCTGTTCTAAAACTTATTTCAACCGGTTCCAAGCGTTTGACAGTTGAATGAACCTAGAATCACGTCCCAAGGGCTAGGCAATATCGGAGCCTGACATATTCATGGTTTGACTGGTTCAACCCAGCAGATGACTGTTCGTTTTACATGACTGATTGGTTTTCCCACCTATATGTGTCACGCTAGCGTACCATCGGGCACCAGTTTTCCTATAACAACTGTTCTCATCTGGTGCGTTCTAATTTTTCCGTCAGCAATAAGCATCAGAACAAAGGTATGCTACACTTAGACGAAACCCAAGCTCGGCTTGTCCTACCACAAGTGCGATGTAAACGAAGCTGGTCTGTTAGTACAGCATCCAACAAAAAGGTGGGCACCAAACATGCATCATATCACCGTACATTCTTCCACGTGTTGCCACACAAATTGAAGGGGAAACAAAATCGGTCCCGAATACAGTAAGTTCCCGAATTGCGCAAAGCTCGGGAAAATGCAAAATTGTTCGCTTCACGGAATTCTTTCCTGAGGAGGAGGAGGAAACAGTCCTGTCAGTTTTTCAGCAACCCACAAATAGGTCCGTCTTTTTATTCAGACAATGCTTACAGTCAACCATTTTTGTGTTGAAAGAAAAGAAAGAAAGAAAGCGTCAGCTGTAGGCACCCTTCCGGTGCCTAGCTGCCATGCCACCCGAAGGAAGCACGAGTGTTGCTTGATAGCTCTGGCCAGTTCGACGCAATTAGTTCACAACGGCTGGCTTACAAATCTGTTAACGCTGAGTTAGAAAGCCGTACTTACAAGCATTACCCTAGAAAGGGTCCAATCAGAAACCCAGAGTGCTCGTCAGGAGTTTTTCAGTCTCCANAGGTTGCCCAAGCCTAGACAGGGGAAGTCGAGTGGCGGGGGTCGGATTCGAACCACGGACCTTCCGGTCAGTAAATTCGCGCTCTAACCACTTGGGCCATCTCGCCCCTTTTTGTGTTGAGCATGTCTGGGACCCAGGGTTGGTCGATGCCGAAATGTTCAGAGATTTCTCCAGTGCATGGACTTTCATCGGTTGAACCTGAAAAGCCCAATGCCTTGAAAGTTGCACAATATCCTTTTGCACTAGATTGACACTACATTTTAGTTCACCACGACTTTGAACTAAGCTCCTAAGCCGTAACGGCGGGCTGAACAAGTCAGTCTTTTGTACTAGAACGACCATTAACCCACCATCTCAAAGGATATTCATGTTGTATACCGTCGGAACACCACCGAAATGACCTCTAAAAGTTTTACTTTATCTCGAAAAGGTAAGTTACACTCTAAGCCACCGAAGCATGGTAAGTTGGTTTGAGATAGCTTGACGTCCAAGGCGCCAAACTGCTGTCCAGTCGGTTTCGAACCAACCCCGGCTTTTGTATTGCTCCTGTCTAAGCTTTGGCAACCTGGCGCTTTCTCAGCCATCCTGTTTTTTTCATGAAACATGACAGCTACACACCAAAGGGTACCATAATTGAACGAGTTATTTATTTACCTGTCACCTGGCTTGACCACTCCAGACGCGCTATGTATGAGCAGCGGATTAAACAGTGACAGTCTGACGTGATTGGTAGTCAAGTGTTGCTTGATAGCTCTGGCCAGTTCGACGCAATTAGTTCACAACGGCTGGCTTACAAATCTGTTAACGCTGAGTTAGAAAGCCGTACTTACAAGCATTACCCTAGAAAGGGTCCAATCAGAAACCCAGAGTGCTCGTCAGGAGTTTTTCAGTCTCCACAGTGAAAAAAGAAACCTGAAAAACTCGTTCTCCTTGACAAATGATTCGCTCTTAAAGAGGACGCTACTGTACAGTAATTACACTGACAAAAGATATGGTAAT